GCCCAGCGGGCGGGGGGTGCGGAGCGAAGCTCCCAACGCGCTGCTCCGCTCCAGCCCCTCCCCGTCCGGGGCCAGGGACCCCCCTGGGCTCCATCCACCCTGCCTGGCACCCAGGTCACAAACAGGGGACACCTCACAGCTCGGCTCCAGAGCCAGGCAGGAAAAAATCCTGTGGATGAAGTTTTCCTTGTGCCAACTTCACCCTCACGAATGCCAGAGAGGAGCAGGGAGACAGCCGTTACCTTTTCCAGGGGACCACCCTCTGGGGTGCCCACACCTGCAGAGCTGCCTCTTCTCACTCTCCCTTCAAGCCAAGGGAACCCCAATTCCTCAAGAGGAATGAGGGGGTTTGCATGGCAAAAGCCTACAGCACGAGATGGAAGAGCCCCAGGTCTGCTAGAGGAAACAGGAGGTTTTGGGAGGGCAGAGAAGGCAGAGTGAGCTGTGTCACAGGAGAGATGCTCGAAAGGGGATCTTTATCCCAGACCGCACAAGGCCAGGATGAACAGGAGAGACCCAGGAGGCGGCGCAGGTAAGTAAGGAAGGGGTAAGCCCAAAGCTCAGGGATAGAATCATAGAATCACTTTGGTTGGAAAAGACCTTTAAGATCATCGAGTCCAACCAATACGAGGGATCCTGGGGCTGAACTGGCTGGAAGTGTGTGGGAGGGAAGCAGCTTGTGCTGGATCTCTGCTTGCTTTCCCCCCACCTTGGGCTCAGCAGGGCGGAGGGAAGACATGTACTGGCAATGTGAATCATATCCAAATATTTAAGCACCAAACTCTGTTGTTCTGCAGTCCCAGGTGGGTTTCACAGCATTACTGTTTCAGGTTTGAGCCAGGTGTGAAAACCAAACTGTTGGCACATAGAATGCACGCACCAAAACCCAGAGTCTGGTAGATGCCACCACTGTCCCCACTCCCCCAGAGCTGTGGGAGGCCCTGGACACCTCCTTCCCCCGCACTGATGCCAGAGCAGGAATCGGGGAGCTCTGAGCTTTAGGATATTATTTGGGGAAACGAAGGGGATGCTCTAGCTCATTGCTCATCCCACACCAGCTGTGCCCAGGGGAGAGCCAGCGGCTCCGACCGCCTTGGTCCTGGGAGAGCCCTGGTGGGGCTTGGGCTGGCCAGGCAGCCGGGACCCAGGCTCTGTCCCGCCTCCCACAAACCTCCACAGCATTTCAAAATAAGCGCAACGGTTGGGCCTCTCTGAAGTTTGCCTTGTGGGCTTTTTCTGTTTGTTTTTTTGGAGCCAGGAGAGTTCACATTCCCAAGCTTTTCCCTGCAGCCAGTACAGCAGGGTTTATTTATTTTTTTTTTATAAAAAAGAAGAAAGCAGAGCTCTGCATGTAACCTCAGCTTCCCTGTGCAGGGCATCAGCCTCAGGCACCAAACAGGCAGTTTAGAAGAGGCTGAAGGAGGTGGCAGCTCTGGGGGCTGGGGTGGGGTGGGATTCTCCAGCCCCATTTCTTCCTTTCCATGCCAAAATCTCAGTCCCAGCTACATCTCTAACCACAGCAACATGTATTGGAAAGAGTCCATCTTATAAAGCAAAAAGCATGAGGGAAAGAAAAAAACTCCCAAGTGGAGCCATTTTGTCCATCTCAACCAGCTGACGCAGACACTGATGGGGTAGCACCTCCTCAACACCAACAGTTGAAGAAAATATGGGGAAAAGCAGGGAAATGTGGTGTTTGCTTCCCAGCAACCTACCAGCAAAAAGAGGGGGCTGCTGAGCTTGAAAAATACAGGCAGCACCTTTGCAAGTCATAAGCAGAGAAAATGAGAGCAACCACATCTTACCTGAACTTCTCCAGCCCTCCAGGATTTAAGCACCAGCTTGGCTCCACAGGCAAGAAGCACCTGGCCGAGCACAGGCGGGGTGGGAAGGGAGCTTGCTGGGACAAAGCATCTCGCGCCGCTAGCCTGCTTTGAGTGAACAGCAAGCTCTGTAGCAACCTGCTATTCTGGGAAGGAAAACTGGGCAGAGCTGCTCTACAAGCCCCAGCTCTGCTGAATTTAAAGGATCAGCACAAATAATGCACACCTGGAAAAGAGCTTCCCCTGCAGGGCAGGTGAGTTCTGAGGGAAGGGGCATCTCTTTAGGAGTCCCAGGGCACTCCAGGCTCTGCAGCAGGGTTTAGCAAAGCGCTTTGCAGCTGGGGACCCCTCCTGCTGGGGCTGGACCCAGCTGCTCCCCAGCTGCATCTGCTGCTCCTGAAGGAAGGATGTATCAGAGCACAATGATTTGTTTTTATTGGGAATATTTGCTTCCTGCCACCAGGATGCATGTGCAGCAGCAGAGAAATGTACAGGGGTTAGAGACCTTGTGCACCATGTGAGGCAGAAAAGGCTTGTTAAGAGGGGAATGTATTACCCAGACATCTGTTGAGGCTGTGTAAATGAGAAATGGCCAAGAGCAAACGGCTGAACCTGCAGTCCTGCCCACCTTCCGCATGCGGTGAGCCCTGCGTCCCCCATGGGAGAGCAGAGCACTCTGCTCCAAACCTTACCAAACGCCTTAGCCTAGGGCCACATCTGCTCTGGGCTCAGGAGTTACTGGTACAGAAGCTGCTACCCAAGCTGGGCAAGGGCTCGGAGCATCAGTCTGAGCTGGTGTTTCACCCCATGCTTTGTGCACGCAGGCGCTCAGTGAGGTCTTGGTAAGAGCATCTCCAAGGACAGCGGGGTTAAGGGAACAGCTTTAGTGCTTAGGACAGGTGGAAGGGGAATTTATTTTCTGCTCATTCTGGTTTCCTGCTGTGATCTTAGTAAAACTCTGCATTGACCTCAGAAGAGGGAGGACTGAACAGCAGAGGATTCCTCCTGCCTTGTCCTCCCTAGGGATGCTCCATTGCGTGCTGCTGTTGCCTGGACCAGCCCTCGGCACTTGGGGACAGCTGCCTGGCAGAGGAGCTCATGAGGGTTTGTCATCCTGCAATGCCCTGGTCCCAGCGTCTCCTCTCCAACACGATGGCCTTCTGGCGACACCGCGGAGCAGCGGTATTGTCCCATGGGGCAGTTCAAAGTCACTCTGCTCATTTCCAGAGCTTTCTGCAAACACCAGCTAATCCAGGCTGCGCACGGCTGGGCAGCAGTGGACAGCAGGAAACAGCTGAAAGAGAACACCCCCAAAAGTGGTCACGGCACATTCCCCACATAGCGACGGCCATTCTGCAGCCACAGAAAGGCTACAGACAGAGAGGGAGAAATTCAGTTTGCTGCCCTGGGAGCATTTTCAGGCATCAGTGGCATGTGAATGCAGATACCGCCCTTGGGAGCAAGCTCTGTCTGTAAACTGCAAACCCCCTGTTTTGTCTGAGCATCTCAGTCTTTCCAGAAGTCCCAGAGCTTTGTGTCCAGCTCTCTTCGGGGTAAGCAATTTCTGCCGGCTGCTCCAGGCATGTCCCTCTGCATCTTGCCATGGCGAGACTGAGGTGGAAAAGCCACAGCTGCTGCTGGCCGGGAGCTGCCGAACGCCAGCCGTGGGGCATCCTTGCTGGGACAGGTAGGCTCCTGCCTGCAGTGAGGCTCCCCGGCAGGGACCTGTGTCCCATGGTGTGAGACGAGGCGGTGCTGGGAGCACTGAATGCTTCGGTGGCTTCACAACATCACCCGAGACTCCAACTTCCATGTTACGCTGCCTGGCAGGCACCTGCCTCCAGTCCTCCTCCTCGCGGGAGGGAGAGGGAACCGAAGGGACCCCCCCTCCCCACAGACCCACGTGGCCAGGCAGGAGGAGGGCAGTTGTTTTATAACCCCCCCCTGCCACCACCCACATCTGCTGACCAAGAGACTTCACGGGACCCTCATGATTTTCCCTTCCTGATTCACGGGGTATTTGTGACCAAGGGGAAAGGGCACATCTTCCCCTTCCCAGTTCCAAATGCAGTTGGGCCAGGAAACCTTCCTTCCTTCAGTGAACCCTTTCCTCGAGGGGTAGTCCGGGTGCTTTCCCCCTCCCACCCTTAGCAGGAGCAAGAGAAACATGCCTCCACATCCCCTTCCTGCTCCACGGGGAGATGTGCCCCTTCTTTCTGCTGACTGCCCTGCCCAATTTCAATAGCCCGGGGCCTTTACCAAGGCTGCACTGAGCATCCTTGGGGTACAGGTGGCCTCACTGGCAGCCTACCATGTGCCCACACACACACACTTGCACACTCACACTCGCACACACACCACCCACTTCGGCCAGGGAAACCAGCAGAGCACAGGACGAGGGGATTTGGGTGGTCGGTCTCGCTGGGTGTTACCAGTACGGGGTGGTGGCCAGGAGAATCTGCAGAGCCATGGAGAAGCAGGGCAGCTGTGCCACGCTGTAGGCCACGGAGCGTGTGGGCGCCTTCAGCCGCAGGAGGTAAGCAATGGTGTGGACGATGCGCCCCACGCAGAAGATGAAGAAGTGGATCCTGGCCACCATAGGACTGGGATCCAGCAGGGAGTAGATGGCTCCGAGGAAGAGGAAGGGAAAGATATTCTCCATGTCATTGCGGTGGGCCCTGAAAAGAGAGGTAAAGTTGCTCCTTCCCACCAGGCTTCCCTGTTGCCTCCCACCCCTTCTGCCAGACTGCCCATCCCTGGGTGCTGCTGGCCCCCTCCTTCGTTGGATGGGGCAGACGCAGCCCCCAAAACAGTCAGGTCCCCCCTACACACACAGGCAGCAGGGTTTCGCACCTGGTGTCTCTCACTTGGGATGTTGCGCTCCCGAAGCTTGCCCTCCATGACTGGGACGCCTTTGCCATGACAGACAACAGCTCAGGGGTTAGAGCTTTTAAATAAGCAAAGCCTAACGATGACCCCACGAAGATGTGGAAAGCTCAAAGCTGGTGCGGTGCCAGCACGGCACGGCCCCAGATGCAGCCACGTTACACAGCAACGAGGCAGTTTTCAGAGGAGAAACTCCCAGGGGGATGGGAGGGTTCGTGGCTTCGCCCCGCTCCATCAGTGCATCCAAAAGGGACTGGGGAGGAGCACCCCGAGCACCTGCATGCTGTGCCAGCAGCGCCTGCTTAATTGCACCCAGGTCAGGCTGGAGGGACCGCAGCGGCCAGGTGAGGTCATGCTGGCACTGATGGGGCCAAGCCCCGCACTCCGTCTGAACACGCGCCTGCCTGGGTGCCACAGCATCCCCTGCCACCACCCGCCCCACACCACTACTGCAACAGGAGTGGGTTGTGCCGTGAGCGTGGGCTGTGTCCCTCCTCCCCCAGGTACCATCCTTCGAGGGAGCAAAACCGGTTCCCAAAGCAGCCAGGCTGCCCTCGCCCTCCCACCACCTCTGCCTCTCCTTCTTTTGTTCCCTTGCGATGCAAAAGCTGCTTTCTGCAGCACAGAGCCCCATCCCCCTGCTTTGATGGGGGGACTCTCAGGTCATGCCCTGGCCGGTGGGACAGATCTGGGCTGGAGAGTGACCCCGACAGGAGGCTCAGTTGCCTTTTCCCCATACATCTGGAGGTTTAAGAGGCAGAGATGAAGCCTTGATAAGAGCTGCCCTTGCTTCCCCATTCCTGTGCCCTGGGATGTTTGAATGTTCACAAAGCCAAGAGAAAGTTTCAAGCAACTTCTTCCCTGAAGGAAAGGCCAAGATGCCTGTGCTGCTCTTCTGCACGAGATGAGAAGTGGCTGGGAAGTTTTAGGACGCTCAGTCACAGCTCACTAGTGCACACGCAGGCTGGGACAGACCTGGCTGAAAACTGACTTGGGAAAAGAAAGAGAGTTGTGTTTTAAGTCTCATCTCTTGCCCCTGGGGATAGGTCTGTGGAGCAGGAGATGTCCCTGTGTCTGCCTTGGCAACAGCCCCACCAAACACACTGACTTCCTCAGGCCAAGCTTTGCCAAAAGCTTCTCCATAAGAAATTTTCAACATCAAGTGCCCAGGTTTTTCGGAGGGTGAGTGCTCCCAGGCAGGATCGGTCTTTGAGCAGGGAGATGGAGTGGGAGCCGCAGGGAAGGGCTCTGGTCACCCGGCTTGCCCCAGCCTCCTCCCCCTTGCTGTGATGCCCAGGACATGAGCAGAGGCTCCAGGTCCAGCAGCTGGTTCCCATCACCACATCACATGAAATGACCCGTGTGCTGCTCGCCAGCATCCCTCACTGCCCCCTTCCCACACCAGAGCCCAGGCCAGGCACCTGCACGTAAATATTGCACCTGAGCCGTTTCCAGCGTCGGCTTTGCTGAAGCATGAAGGGGGTGCACAGGCTGTCATACCCAGAAAAGAGCTACCCTGAGGGCTTTCAGCGCCCCATTATCCCCATAACAGGCACCGGGGCAAGGGGCTTTCTCCTACCTGCCCTTTCCACCTCCATGGGGAGCAGTCCATAGCTTAAGAGCCACGTCCCCAAGCAAGGCAGGGATGAACATGGCAAGGAGCCTGCTGGAAACCCTATTTCAGCTGCTCTCTGCATGTGATTTTGGGACAGTATGGAGGAATTGGCCCAGAAAAGACGAGTCCTGCTGTTGTAGCAGCAATGCCAGGAGGACTCGGTGGGGATGAGTTGATCAGAGCCTGGACACGGAGGAGACATATTCCCTGCCAAACCCAGGAGGGAGGTGGGGAGCTTTGCTCCTCCTGGCCAGATGGTCCCTGGAGAGAGCCAGCCCTCCCAGACACAAGGATGGCCTGCTGCCCACCGGCTCACAGCCCCTTCCTTTCCCAGCCCAGGGCCCTGCTTGCCTTCCCGAGCCAGCATCAGCTCTGCGGGTACCACCACAAAACCCTCCCGCAGCCCGGCCAGGGCCGCCGTGATGAGCATGGTTTGCTTCTGGTGTCAGCCAGGAAAGGGAAAGGGCAGCTGCTGGACACCCACTGCCTCGCCCTGGGCGGCCCCGTCCAAACAAGCCCCCAAGGACTCGGAGGCTTCGAAGGGCAAGGAGAAAGAAAAGAAAAGACCTGAGCCGCAGCCAGGGGCCTCTCTAAGAGGCAAGAGGGAAATCTCCCTCCCGGCTGCCGCTTGCTCTCCCCTGCTCTGCCCCTGCCCTGTGCAGACCAGCTGTGGCTCTGCTTCCATCACAACAACGCCTGAGAAGAAAACCCAACATCACCCTTGTTCAGAGAAGACGCCTTGGGTTTCACAGGCCAGTGAACAGATCAGCAAGGGCTGACCCTGAGTGCTTTAACTGCGCAAGTTGGATCCCAGACTTCCCCAGGTCTTTGCTGCAGCTCTGGTTATTTATTTTTATGGAACTTTGGATTATGATTATTATTACTACTATTATTTTCTCTTTCCTAGCAAAGGAACAGCTTGTTTTCCCCCTTACTTCCTCTGAAAGCCCGGGGATTAGGTGGCACTAGATATTTTTTAAAGCAAATCTTGCAGGCAGTGAGAGACGTGTGGCGTGGTCCCCCACCCGCAGCAGAGCTGGCAGCCCAGTGACAGCAGGGCACGGCTCCAGTCCTTTTTCCTGCACGTCACCAGCCCACGCAGTGATCCAGCCCAACACTTGGGCCACCTTCTGGGTAAGGGGGACAGCAAAGCAAGCCCAGGGCTGAATACCTGATACAGGGTTTGCCCAATTAGGGAGACAAAAGTTATTGCCATTGCATCCAGCCCCTTCCCAGATCCCCAAACAGGGCAGCAATGCAGCACTGGGACCAGTCACACAGTTCCCAGTCATGGCCCAGTTGTACTGTCCAAGCTGTGCAGGGATCTGGGGGGGGGGTTGGGGTCCTTTTGGAGCAGGGCATGAGGAGCCTCTAGATGTGGACATGGGACAAGCCCTTGGGGGCTTGCAGGACTTTAAGCACCTAGGAAGGAGTTTAATTGCATCAGAGTCAGACCCCAAACCCGGATCCTTCCCCATGTCCTTGCTCCAGTTCACACCATGCTTCCATTAAATATTAAACTGCCTCAGTGTATAGGGTCCTGCAGCTGAGCTCCAGGCATTCAACCCATCTAGGTAATTACTTAATTAATGAGCCCTTTAGTTTCCCACTGTCTCTTTGCCAGCAGCTGCCAGGGGTCGCCCTGCGGCGCAGGGAGGATCCCAGCACTGCCAAGTACTCGCCTGCGGCACCGCTCCACGTCAGGGTCCTCACGGTAGTACTGCAGCCCCCCATTGCGCAGCGCGTCCTCCGGGTTTGCAAATGCCTGCAAGAGAGAGTCCCCATAACGCAGGTGTTCATAACGTTCTCAGGAATTTCACAGATAGAAGCTTTGCCCCCAGTCTTTAAGGCTGGTGGAGATTTCTTCCTGCCCAAGGAGACCTTTCAGCCCCAGATTCTCACCACCCTTCACAAACACAAGAGTAACTGCACTTCCATGTGCATGGTCCTGGGGGTTAAACCCTGCACCTCCAGACGGGTTTTCCTGAAAAACCCAGCTTTGCCCACCGAGCAGGTCCCAAACCAGGGGCTTCAAGGGAGCTCTGGCCTGGTCCCAGTCCACCTCTCCCAGTGAAACCCATTTAACGGAAGCTTTGCAAACCACCAAATGAGATCACTGCTGGCACAGAGCTTGCAGACACTGAATGCAGCATCCAAAAGATAACCAGGACTGACAGATTAGTTGACCTGCCGAGAAAGAATATTCCCTGGCTGCCTTTTTGGCAGTGATACCAAGTGACTGAAACCAGCCCTGGGGAAATTGGATCCTACACTGGTAAACTTACAAATAAAAATTATGTATCCGAGCTCCCCACCTATGCTCAGAATCTGTTCCTCAGGACCACGCGACAGCCTGGAAAGGACCCTGGCGCTTTCTTTAATCATTTTACAAGCCCAGACTGTTCCCATTCAGAAACACAAGGGGAGAAGCCAAACCATCCATTACAATGATGCTACAGCACAGTAATATCTATCTCTGTATTTTATCTGAGAGCAGAAATCTCTCCCTCCCACTCCATTGATGCAGTCGGAAATTTCTCAAATACTTTAAAGCAGATTTTACAGACAGCTGAGTTTTGCCACGAGTTCAGTTTGGGTTGCAGGCGATAAAAGGTCCAGTTAATTCCAGCCTCTGATGTCAGCTAGAGCTCCCAGTCCTCCCCGTAATTTCCCCCATGTCCAAGAACCATTTCCCGCCAGCTGTTGTTTTTATTCCCTGCAGCTTCCTGCTCTCCTGGAGCATTCACATAGCAATTCAGCCTCTGAAAGCAGAAAAGCTTTCTGCTACATTGCAAGAAAAAGGACCATTGCAATGATTTGTTCTTAAACCTCCCTTCCCCCCCTCCCCCCCCGCCTTTTCTTCCAGACAGGGCAAATCAACTGTAATCAGACTCTTTCCAGAAGCAGCTCACCTGCATGGCATTTTAGATCTGAAATTACTATTTAGATTAGGATTCAGAAATTATAAACATCAAGCTACAGATGGTAGAAACAAACAAAAAGAGCCAAAGAGAAGCGAGATAATTGGCTGCAGCTATGGAACATGTTTTTGTTTCAACTTAAGTCAAAGAAAACTCAGCTTGCTTCAGGAAAACTTTGTCAGCCTTTACTGGAATAAAAAAAAGAAAGAAAAGTCACAAGAACCCAAGGAAAAAGCCAGAAAGGGAGAAAAAGGTAAGGGAAACTGGAACTTACCTTCTTTCTGAGTCTCACTTGTCCCGTAATGATGGCAACAACATACATTTTTAAAATCAAGATCGTGCTGTAGAACGTAAATGACATAAACACGGCGTTTTCCATCATTTTGGGGGAAGGTGCCGCTCAGTTGCCTGTAGCATTCACGGCCAGCAGAGATCTTGCCGGGGCTGCAGGAGGGTTCTGCAGGGAGAGGGGGCAGGAACAGCCATGTTCAAAGGCAACAGAAGTCACCACCATTTCTTCGGCGAAAGCCCACAGCCCCCGTAGAACTCTTTGGGCCAGACAGGAGTAAATGATGCAGCAGAGCCACTGGGAAGCAAACCCCAGGCACAGAGCAGGCTGCCCACATTGCTCCCTGCTGCAGGCTGCTTCTGCTCCTCACTCCCTGCCACCACCAGCTCTGTGGGGATGCGTTGCCCCAAGTTAGGATACAGCCCCCTTGACCGTGTGGGCCACAGCAAGGCTCAGCCCGGAGGTCACCGCTGGACCTCTTGCCTCCCTAAACCAGCCCACCACGATCCCCCTGCCCCTCTTCCCCTCCTGTTTATGCCCAGAGGGACGGAGGTGCACAGAGCATCCCTTGCCCAGCCAAGCACTGCTCACCCAGGGACGTGAGCCGATCAGCCCTGGGAAGAAGGAGTTAGGAAGAAGGTAGGCACCTACCTCATCTGCATCCAGCCCTGTGCTCCTGCACTCCCTCCCTGCTCGATCCCACAGCCCACCCCTCCGTGGCAGCGCTCCCAGTACTCCCCAGTCCCGCCCAGTGCAGCTGAGCCCTGCAGTGGCAGAGGCAGCCAGCCCTCCCCTACACAGCCACCTGCCGAGGGATGAGGCACAGGGGACAGGACCCTCCCTTGCCCCACCAGCACCCATCACCTGGGGGCCTGGGCTGCCCCTGTACCCCCCGGTGGGATGGGGAGCTCCGGAGTGACCAGCCTGGAAGCACACCCAGGCGACTTGCAAAACCCCAAACCTGCAAATAGAAGTAAACACCAGCCTGCCCAGCACCCACAGACAGCTTGTCCTGGTTTTCTCCGAGAAAGTGAATCAGGGCAGTTGGGTGTAATTTTGCCCTCGGTCCAGAAAGTTGCGTTTTAATTTGGAGCTGGCTTTTCCCCAGCCATCAAACACTGGTGAAGAAAGAGAGGGATCTAAGCCTCTGCAGGCAGCTGGGCTGCTCTTCCAATGCAAACCTTTAACTCCTTCTTCCCCAGCCCTGGCCCCAGTGCTTGCAGAAGCAAACCTCCGGTGAGCTGGCAGCTTGGGGGCTGAACAGGAGCTCTCCAAGTTTAGTAGTGGTGAAGAGCTGGATTTGGGGTTCGGTTGCTTTACACAGAAAAAAAAAAAAAGCTTATTTCACAAAAATGGAAGCTTTGGAGATTGAGTGGAAAATGAAGGCTTTGAGGATGCAAGCAGTTTTTTAATTAACTGACATGTTGGAATAAAAAAATTCGTTTCAAGCCACCAGAAAGCTTCAAAAAACAATGAACAGAGTCCAAAGGTTTGTCATTTGCAAAACCACCTATCAAAGTGTTAGTGCCTCTAAGACTGGTTTTGTTCTTCAGGGCTTTTTAACTTTTTAACTGCCATTTAGCAAAACTAATCCTGTCCTTTCCAAGAGGGTCCAGAGTAACCCAGGAGGAGCATCGCACTCAGCCCAGGACCAGGCTCCAGTCCCATCACTACAGACCCTGGTGCACAAGGACAGGTCTGTCCCCAGCAACGGGACACTGGTGGCACCCCACTCCCTGGGAAGAACAGGCTACAGGAGCCTTTTTCCTGGGGTGCTGGTGTGAATTTAAGGCAGCCTCGTGCTCCGGGCATGGCAGCCCTGGGCCCAGGTGATACAGAGGCAATGTCAATGAGAGCATGAGTCAGGTTATATGGGCAGATCTGGAAGGTTGGCTCCTGCTCAGGGAGCATGCCAAGAAAGTCAACAGTCACCTCTCCATCTGGGCAGTGTTATCCCACCAGCCCTGACCAGCAGCTGAGGGATGCCACAGGCCAGCCCCCGTCTCTGCCCCTGCAGAAGGGAGGGTTACACCATTTCTTGTATTCCCAGCAAACTGGTCAGCATGGATTCACACCGGGGCAGTTTTCCTGCCAGGATCAGCGCTGCAGAAGAGGTTTTGCTCCTGCCATGCTCAGCTCAGACGCGAGCTGCATGCTCCGGCCATCCCAGCCAAGGGCTGAGCCCTTCCCATGCCCATCCAGAACAGATGTCCTTCCTTCCACCCCAGCCTGCCCGGCTCCAGACCCCTGTGCTGCTCCCAGCCTGGCAGAACAGGTCTCAGAGTCAGAAAGACCCTTCAAGCACACGATCCCCCTCCTGGCACAGAGATCTCCAAATTCTTTGCATTTGCCTCCAAATCTCCCTCGCCATGGCTGCTCTGCCCTGATGCTGCAAACCCAAAGACGCCACATGGCTTGTTGCAATGCACTGGCTCAGCCCCGTGACATCCGAGTTTGCAGAGCAACTTTGAAAACCCCAAGCGCCTGGTTTCAAGGGAGAGGTACTTGCAGCTGGCCACCACCACCCTGGCAGCAGGGTGGCTGCAGGACAAGCCCTGGCACAACCCAGCGTGGAGCTCCGCAGCCCAGCAGTGACTGCCTCCGACAGGCTGCTTCCCTGGGGGTGGGAATGGGGACACCAGGACACGCAGCAGCCACGTGGATTCAAACACTGCAGTAAGGGCTGGGATTTTCACCCTGGACCCCAGCCCTGTGCTGCCACCAAACTGCATCCAACCCCACTCATGCCTCCCTGGAGCGCGGCGGAGTGTTATAAACACCATAATGCCAAGCATAAGCAGTTGATGGCAAAGCCACATCCCAAACACCGCTCCCTCCCATCTCCCCTCTCCATAGCTGATAGGGAGCAAACCCATAGCGGAGCAGACCTTGGTGCCCAAGGTCTGGGGTGATGCAAGGGCCAGACCAGCCCTGCAGCAGGGCTGAGACTTTCTCCAGCAGCCCCTTCCCTGGCTCTGCCGGGAGCCTGGGGCTGGGGCAGGCAGCCAGACCCTTCACCAAAGCATCACACCCTCCATGGAGCTGCTCCAGTTCTTACCAGCTGAGGATCCAGCCCACAGGCTCTTTGGCAGCGAGACCTTTTTCCTTCACGCACCTTCTTCCCCTCCCGAGGCAGCCAGCACGCCTCACTGAGCGGCAGGAATACACGCAAGCTTGGTACCACCTGCAGACAAGCCAGGACTTCTGCTAGCCGGACAGACTTTCTCCTCCTCAGCATTATTCAAGCGCTGGCAGGAAGCCCTGGACGATTTGCATCGACAACTGGCACAAATTTAAATTGAATGGAGTGATGAAGAAGCACAAGTTTTTTAGGTGTTAGCCCCTAGGACAGACCCAGGCACAGGGTGGGCTGCGTGGGCTCAATGATAAAAACCACATGGGCAAAGTAAGTTGTTTTTCCCATGTGTTTATGCATTTCAGACCCTTCCACCATTACACAGAACTGAAACCCAGTAGGGAGTGCTGGGGTCTGTCAGCACAGCACCCACGTGGATGGGGATGAGGGCAGAAGCTGCCTGTGAAGGCAGGTGTGATGCTCCTAGGATCCCAGCTCCTGCTCTGTCTCTTGAGTTGAGGGGTCTCACGCCATGTAGGACATGTCCACTGCACAGTCGCACCCTCCTGGCTTTCCTGACCCAAGGCAACGCAGCTGCCAGGGGTATGTTCAACCATCCCATTAATCCAGGCGGAAGCAGGCTGTCAATATTAACGGTTTGATCCTCCTCCATGGATCACATCCTGCTAGGACAGAGCCAGAACAGGACCAGCTCCTAAGGGCAGTGTGTCTTTAAAGTACAAGCTGTGCCTTAAAGCCTTTAACACAAGAGGTCTCAGCCCAGGACAAGACCTACCAAAACCTAACACTGCTAGCAAAACCCACTGTGTTTTTTGGAGAAATTATTAATAAGAATCAGGGTCAGGCTTTGAAAGGTTTAGTCATCAGGTTAGGCTGACCCCAGGAGCTGCAGGGAAAAGACGGAGGGTTTTGCTGGAGGAGGGACTGGACAGCAAGCAGAAGGAATGAAAAATTCATGGGAGATGCTTGAGAAAAGTACTTAAAAATAGAAGCCTCTAATAACAATCCTGCTTTGGAAAGATTATGGAATAAAAATCACCCTTGGTTCCCACATGGGTTGTTATTTGTTTGACCAGTTGAATTACACTACAGTATTATAACTGCATGTTTTTCCACTGTTGCTATGCTGCGGAATTTCCTGGTGGCAGCTACATAAGAGGGTTGGTTGTGTAATAAATCCTTGTCAATGGAGCACAGGCACGTATGCCCGGGTGGCACCACCGGGGCTCCAACCTGATCTCAAAGGGCAGCAGACACTTTGGGCAATTACAACTCAGATTCCCTGAAATTTTCCCAAATGAACAATTACATCCCACAGCTTGGCCAGGCAAAGAGCCCGAGGGGACCTGGAGGAGACAGGCAGGTGGGTGGCACTTCTCCAGCGTGCTCCCACGTGCTGGTGGAGAAGGCGCAGAACCCAGCTGGCATCTTGCCTGGCCAGAGCCCGGCAGCTCAGGCCATGGCTCCAAGCAGCGCTGAGCCACATTCCCAGCTTGTTTGAACGCCGCTGCGGGTGCCGGTGCCCTCCTTCCCTGCCGTTTCTTCCTGCTTCTCCCAGCACAAAGCCTGGGAGCCTGCAGACGTGCCCTGCCCCAGTGATCACTTGCCCTTGGCTGCACCCAGCCCTGGGAAATCCGGCTGCCCATGGGAGGTTGCGCTGGCTCATCAAACACAGCTACCTTTTCAAGTAAAGGCATGAGCAGTTTAGCTATTTATTAAAGAGAAAGGGACTCTGCCTGCGTTCCCTCCTTAGCCTGCACGAAACGTCACATCACCGTGATGCACCTTCTCCCCCAGATGAATGAAATCTCATTGCTTCACCTGCAGCTCCGCATCCCCCAGCTCCCGGGCTCCTCCCTGCTCTTTGCGGGGTGCAGGATGGCAGAAGGTAATGCAAAGTCACTCAGCAGCCTTAGCACCTACTGAAACCAACGGGATGCTTCAGTCTTTGGCAAACTCAGGCAGATTTGTACTGGCTGGAGCGATCTGAGAGGCCTCAGGCATGAGGAATGTCGGACCCGACTCTCCCA